GAACATTGTGTCGAACATATATATATATATATATATACTTTGATGTAATAATGATTTGGTATAATAATGATTTGGTAATGATATAAACTTTTTATAATGTTAATGGTAACACAATAATGGATTGAAATAGTCACTCATTACTTCCCAGATAACATGTTGCTTAAGAGATATAAAAGACGTCTTTTACATATCTTATACAACAGTGCTTGGCATTAGATGCACATTTCGAGCCGATTTCAGCGAGCGACTACTCTTCCCCCCGCTTGAAATTTAGCGGCCGAGTCACTACATGACTCTTTACCTCAGAAGCGTCTCTGTAGCTTAAACGTGTGGAAGTCATACTTTGCGTTATTAAAAAATATTTTTCTTGCAAAATAATTTTTATTTTCTTAAAAAAGTAAAATACTAAATACTAATCTAAAACATTTTGTCATAATAATTCTTATCTATCAGAAACTTCAGTAATTGTTATAAATTTACATTGAGACCATTTCTAACAGACTTGCGAAGATTGAAGTCAGGAAATATATATATCTGGAAATTTCATGTTTTATGAAGTTTTACAAAGACTCAAGTAACAAGGATACAATAATTATTTTCTTCTATAAGCGAACATAATTTTATCATTTTTAATTCTTGACTAACGATTAATTGTTAACCTATCAGAAATCATGTATTCCACAATACATGATTTCTGATTAAAATTTCTTATTCTTATATGTTTTCTGTTCCCTATTCCTTTTATTGTGCGAAGCATCTTATACAACATAATGTTATTTCAGTTATAATCGGAAAATCATGAGCATGCGCGCATACATATGCGCGCACCCACAACTCATTACTAAAAAAATAACGCATTACTTGCACTTCATCGTTATTTGCAACGAAGTAACGCGTTACTTTTATTCGTTACTTTTATACTTATTCGATAAATATCATATTAGGTGTGGGAAAAAGTTCGTGGCGTTTTTTTAATGCCATTTAACGGGAAAAACGCCATGACTTTTTTATAATGATGACAAATTATTCTTTAAAAAAAAAGTTTCCTAAGCATAATTTAACATTTGATTTGTTATCGTTACAATCATAAAAAATGTAATATCATTTACTTAATTATTATTATTATTATTATTATTATTACAAAAAATAATGTTTAAAATAACGGCGTTACTTAAGTTAAAACCTGATATATTACAAACCTGATATATTACAATAATTGTAATACTCTATTTAACATACAATAATAAATATAAAATAATAAATACCCTAGTGAAAAAGTTTTGTTGAAATTACTTTTGGAACATTTCAGCGAAATTGCTGAAAATTTGTTGAAACTTCACTGAAAGTGAATTTTTCAACTAACATACTGAAAAATCATTGAAATCCAACCGAAATTTCTCGGAAATTCTTGCTGAAATTTTTGTTAAAAATGAATTTTTCAGCTAAAAATCACTGAAATTAAACTAAAAATTTTTTGAAATGTTGAAATTTTATTGAAAAGTGTTTCAAAATGTAGAATAATTTCAGCAACATTTTTTCACCAGGATAATGTTTTTCAATATATGATAAAAAAATTTTAATATTGTAAAATTTTAATGAAACTTTGATAAAACTTTAGTGAAACTTTAATGAAACTTTGATGAAATTTGGTAACATTTCAATAAATTTTATGTTCGTTTTAAAATACTTTTATCAATAATTTCATCAAAATTTTAATAAATTTCAAGCAAAAGTTATCAAATTTGTGACAATGAAATGACAACGGTAGCTTTATTGAAATCTGAATGTTAATTAATTTTCGATGAATTTGTTGAGATTATAATAAAGTTATACACTTTGAGAGAAACAAGTCGTATTAGCAATTAAAAATGTGAGGACAGATAACATCTCTTATCTTTGTATTATAAAGTTGCAATGAAAATTCTCTCTCTCTCTCTCTCTCTCTCTCTCTCTCTCTCTCTCTCTCTCTCTCTCTCTCT